AACGACTATCTAAATGTTATTTTAAACCGACCGTATTTAGTATAATATATATTAGTATTGATTCGATTCCGAGATGAGAGCAAAAAAAAACTTATATTCACTACGGTCAGGTCAGGTTCATTTAAATTATCAAACCCCTCTAAAATCTTAAACTAACCAACTTAAAGTGTCAAGGACTGTCGTTTGTCATTGCCGGGCTGCAGTGACAGTTCCGTCCTGCACGCTTCTGTGCTGTCGCATGGGCACTCCTAGCGCCGCATGCTTGCGGAAACCCATCGACAGGAACACCTGCTCGGCATGCCTGGCCTGACGGCCGATGAAAACACCGCCCTTCGTCAGGAAGACACCTCGAGAAGGTAAAAGTAACAGCCGGCTAAGATGAGACGGGGTGACTTTGGATTGACAGGGGGTGAGGGCGAGGGAGCCGGAGTTAGATGTACAACTGTGGAACTACGAGTAGTTACATCATATTTGATCTTGGTCCATTGGCATTGGTGTGGTCTGACACAAGACAGGTGCCCATCGTCATCGCTCATCCCTCCGACAGGCGTGCAAACGAGTTAGACTTAGACTTGGACGGTGTTGGACTAGACTAGACTAGACCCTGCTGCAATCGAACATATTCCGAAGACCTTGAAATGATTCAGCGCTCGACGACAACAGCAGCATGATGTTAGTAGTACAGCGGTAATCTCCCACCTGCCCAGGTGAGGGAGGCACGCTGGAATCCATCTGCTGCAGATTCTGCGATCCAGCTCGTGGCGGCTGCAGCTGCTTGGTTCGAAGCCGTGCCCGCCTTCTTTGAGCTGCTCAATTTTACCCTGACCAAAGCCTTGCGCAGTTCCGGGTCCAGGTTCTTGATGCCGGTAGTCTTGAAAGCTTTGCCGTAGATGCCCTTCAGTGCCGGGTTCAGAACCGTGGACTTGAACTCGCGGTGATCCTCCAACGTTGTCCGCAGCCGGGGCCACTCAGTGCCCCGGTCCATGGTAGAACAGTAAAAATATCTGGTCCACCTCAGGACAATAACAAATAAGTAGAAGACCTAAATTATAGTACTAGGCTACTAAACTTAGGTGCCCCATTATGCCAAATCCTATGCACCCTGCAGCAGTAATACAATACTACTTCAAGATAGCCTCAGACCCACGAAACAAATTATTGAGTCCCTGCTATTCAATCAAACTATGTCATGAATGAAGTCTTTTGACTGTCATGTCAGACCAGGTTCGCCGTAAAAGGATTTGCATTTGGGATAGGTCGGATAGGTATAATTAATTAGTGTTGCTGTACTGTACTGCTGCTGTTCAGTAATTTAATTTAGGGGTCATTGTCACAGGGGTGCAGAACTAAATGCTTTACTGTCGACTCAATCAGAATCTTTATTTAATAGTCGATCAAAGACAAGTAGAAGCCTTCAGTTAAACCCTAGCCTAAACTTAAACTAACCCTAAACCTTAAACCCTAAACTAACTAACCCTAAACCCTAAACAGAGCTAAACCCTTAACCCTAAACTAAGACTAACCCTAAACCCCCAAACCCAAGAGATCCTGAACCCAGAGTTCAATATTCAGGAACACCCAAGCCACTTATTCATCCCAACAGGGAGGTTTGCAGCACGTGCAATGGAAACTAGGTGTGCGAAGAGATCTTCCAAGTCCCACTTGGTCTGCGCTGGCCCTGCGAACAGGCATCGAGCCTGCTCCTGCACCCGCCCGTCAGTCGCCGTCCAATTCCCAGCTTCACACTCAAGCATAGCCTCTCTGGCCACTTGCAATCGATTCCAGCCAAGATCTTGCAAAATCTGGGCGAGAGCAGCCTTGACAGCTGGCGGTGTCTGCGAGTCCGGGGTTACGGCCAGCTCAGCGAGCAGCACGGCCTGCCAGACATTGTGTTGCTCGTCCAGCAAACGCTGAGCCGTGCTACCAGTCCCACGTTCCTGACTCAGCACCGCTGCCAGGGCACTGGGCTGAAGTGTAGTAAACTGGACCTGAGACCAGCATCTGGCAGCCGACAGCTCCACAAGCAGTCGCCAAAATGTAGTCAGCCGTTCACACTCATCCAAGAACCACGGCTCTGTTGCCAAACAGTCGTCATCCTCAAGCACGCGTGCAGCTGCAGCTGGTGTGATTTCGATACACTGGAGGGCCGTTGGCTCGTGGATGAGGTGCAGCGTGTTCAGAACCGGGCTGTACCAGCTGCCTTTGGCCCGGGAAGCCTGGAACTCAACTGTCAACGCCTGGCACGATGATAACTTGAATTTAAGATGGGCACAGTGTCTGATTTAAACGAATCAAGGTACTGCATTCACTATAGTTACTAGGTACGCAATTGGAGCGGTTTAGGGTTTAAAGGCATTGAATTATTTAAGATGTAGTTTTTTAGGGTTTAGTGTTAGGGCTTATTATAAGTTTACGGTTTAAATTTAAATTTTATTTTAAAGTTTAGGGTTTATTTTATTTTTGGGAGGGTAATAATTATAATAATAATAAAGGAGCTACGGGTTTAGTTAGGGCTAGGGTTTAATTTATTATTTATTTATTTAGGGTTATTTTAAATTTAGGGTGTTGTTTAGATTATAATTAACAGGCTGCATCGTTGCTGCCTGGCTTTTCTGAGCTTCCAAAGACGAGCTGTAGGAGGCGCGGAGGTGCTGGGAAGCCGTGCTGACCAGTCGCATATCCAGGCGGAGGTCACGATCTTTGTAAAAATGCGAACACAGCTGCATGGTATTGCTAAAGGATTGACGAAGCAGGTTCAGGTCGTTCTTGGTTTGAGGCATGTCAGGGACTTTGGCCTTCTTGGGCTGCTTCCTCTTTCGAGACCCAGAAGCTGCTTCGGGCCCAGGCTCCTCGTCACCGTCACCATCTTCTGCAACATCATCTTCTGCTGCTGCTTCATCCCACGCCCGCTCATCATCAGCAGGGCCGTCATCAGCTCCACCGGCCTGCAGGGTGCTGGGGAGGGGGTTAGTTAGGCTTAGGGGGGTTCGGTTAGGGCATCTTTGACATTTGACGCTGGAGTAGTTTGGTCCAATGGTCTTGCCACCACGGTTTGATTCGTGAAAGTTCAGTGAGTAGCTCGTTAGTATTACAGTAACTAGTACTAGTAGGATAGCGGTTTAGTGTTTTCTGTACTCAGTTTGTAATATAGGTCGACTTAGTAGTCAGCACCTGTGATGTTTTACTTCAAAGTTGTGCGTCAACGGCTGGGCCTCGGCTCGTCCTCCTGACTCGACGAATAATTATTTGATCAGGAAACTGGCTTTGCATGATGTTGACCACCTGGTTAGTAAATAATACAAGTTTCGGCTCGGATTCTGTTCTGATTCGTATGATAGAGTTTAGGGTGCATTTGAGTTTTTATCACTGGAATATAATTTAAGAGTTCTTGGCTTAGCTTAGGGTTTAGTATAAGCTGAGTTATTTTGAATTTTAAGTTTGTTTACGGTTTAGTTAGTAGGGCCAGGTCCATTTGAATTCAAATTGATATGACGTCACATGATTGATTAGTTAGTTTATTATTATTATTATAAGTTAGGCAAATTCAGTGATTCACTGTAACTGTCACTGGCACTGGCGGGCTGGGGTCCTGCATTATAGTAATATCTGATAAGATGGGGTTGGGATTCATTGTGGGAATCGGAACAATTCTGAGTAATAGGATTACCGGGATTGGCTGGTTGGTAGTACCAACTAACAAATAATAATAAGTATGCCTATTATGCTTTTAGTTAAGTTAGTCGGTTCAGTTCAGACAGAGCCCCGTGTCACTGGGCCCTGACACTGACCCTGGAGCCCCGGATGACAATTGACAATGACACGACCATACTGACTGAGTCTAGCTGACATGTGAATGTCATGTGGGGTGGTCCTCCAGCCCGCAGTCTGTTTCTGACAAGTCAAGGTAAGGGCCCTGCTCGGGGATTGGACCCATCGAATCCTTTACTTCTCCTCAACCCTTCGACGAAATTAATCTATTGAAATTCGAACGAAGCTGAATCCTGACTGGATTGCTGCAAAGCACTTGCGAATTGTAGAGCCGGCAAGCATAACCCCGCCCGCGCCTGTTCCCCATAATTTAAACAGCAATATAATATTATGAGACCCACTCTTTCTTATACCCCGGTGAGGTTACCCCGTAAATAACTTTAAACCCTAAACCCTAAATCCTAACCTAAACCCTGAACCCAAAAATAATTTCAGGACAAGGTTGTAGCAAAACGAACGGTAATGCTGACAATCAGGCTTCTGATCTGCTAGTATTCTTATTCACTGTCCGGAACTGCCAGTCCAGTGGCCAGACCACGACTTTGTATGTATTAAGCCTCAAGTCAGACTGAGTCACGAGTCTTCATTATCAATATCAAACCATCATGTAGTGTTTGCGTCAAGTCTAAATTTTAAAACTCTGATGTCCCCGAGATAAATCAAAAATAATGATAATTGATAAGGTATCTGTGATGGCCACTGGGCCGCACCTGGGCCTGCTCTGGTTCGAGCTGAAGGACGTGGTCCAGGACGGTTGCTAGCAGGGTCCAGTTCTCACAGAGATAATTCATCGCGTCCACAGCCCCAAACCAAGACTTGGCCTTCACCTTGGAGTTTGGTTACTCTTGAATTGCAGGATGATAACTATCGAAGAACGATGATGCAATTGCAAGGCACGAAAGGTGGGAGGTTCTTGAGGGCCGGCAGATTCGGCAGATCTGCAGGCTGCTTAGGCAGGCTTTCAGAGTCCTCGTCGTCAAGCTGCAGATCTTCCATCATCTGCTCCACGACCCTGTCAAAGGTTTCTGCAGGCATGGTTGTAGCGAGGTTCTCTGCAGCCTCCATCAAGGACCACGAGTTCTTGGCACCAGAGAATGGGCCGTGTGCACAGTTGCACAACACTGCACTCAGCAATAATGTATGCTGCAGCCCACACCTGCGGATGCCGTTCCGAAAGTCGTTCCACTGGCTGTGGCACGACTCAGGCTGTGCAAACAGCCTGAGCCCCAGCTCTGGCTCGTGCCCCAGAACAAACAGGGTCTTGAACGGCAACGTCTCTTCGTCTGCTGCCTGGGATGATTCTAGAGCACAGCTCAAATGGTTCGAACCCCTGCCGTCTTGTAAGAATGAGCAGCTCAGGGCTCAGAGCCTGTGTGTGCCACACTCACTATTCCTCAAGTGTTAATGGTAACACCAATTGCAACCCAGAACTGTCACGTCAGGATGCGATCGTGAGCAGCGGGCGCTCCCGCGCGTCCGCGGGATCCAGCAAAGACTGTGGCTTTGGTGGAGGCTCATTGGCCGATTTCGGGGGCAGCAGTCTGTTGGCAGGCTTCCTGGGCTTGGATAGAAGGTTTGAAAGCTGGGGTTCCCTTCAACGGATCTCGGGAACTCGGGATGACCTGACTACTGGTTCATTCCGGGCACCACTGCCGTCGTAGCAATCAATCATCCCCCTGATTTACCGTAAACTGTAAATTCGGTCACAGCCTAAAGGACTTAGGACAGTATCCTTAAATTAAATATGTCAATAAAACGAGTGACTGACTAATGATTCAATGATTGATTACTGAAAGTTTCCAAATCTAATCAGTAGGTATTAGGTGGTGGTAAGTAGTCAGTCGTGGCCGGCTTTATTGGAAGCATTTCAGCCTGGACCAGGCCAGGCCGCGGTGTGTGAGGCTGAGGCTAGGTCGTCTTAGGTTTTCTAGTCCCATCTAAGTCTAGCCCTGGAGCTTATAATAATTATATTCATTGACTTTGTTTATTAGTTAGTTTAGTAATGTCGTAGTTAGATTTGGAAGGGTTAATAAGAATAATAATAATAATATTATTATAATGTGGGTCAATTTAAATAGCCAGTTCGGTATTTCTGGCTTTCTAACTTCAGTAATAACACTTCATTTCAATAATAACCCTAAGCAGAACTGACGACTTCAATCCTGCACGGTTGACTGGGGGTTACCGGGTTGGGGCTCCAGGTCGACTTAATTAGGATTTACTTCGCTTGTAGATTTGATTGAACATTGGAGTTAGTTAATAGTTCATGTCTTTGCCTCTCTGTCTCTCTCTCTCTCTCTCTCCCTCCTCTGTCTGTCTCCGTCTGTCTCCCTGTGGTTCCTGACACTGAGTGTGCCTGGTGCACACACCGGCGTGTATTCAGTATGGTATTTCGTAGGTTTGTGTCTGGTAGATTATTTGTGTCCTACTCTAGACTCTACGACATTTGAAATTTGAAATGACCGACTGCTCACTCACTGACGACGGGCCATCATTGCCGGCTGCTTTAGCCATCATTCTGCCTATAATTTAGTTAGCTCGCTGCACAGAATCTTAATTACTAATACTCATCACTAATTTCATATCTTATCAGACCAAGTCACAAGTCCAGCAAGGTCCGACCCCACATCAGGTCGAGGTTGCCGTTCAAGGCATGTGCCAGCACCTGCAGTGGGGCGCTGTCTGTTTACTAACACTAAACACTAAAGACTAAGACTCAAATTCTAAAATTAGGCTGATGGCCATAATCAGATTCAGATCTGAGCAAGCAAGTTGGCTACACTTCTTACAACCCAAAGCAGGAACATTACTTACGAACTGCAGGGGCGGGCTGTCTGACTGAGTCTGTCAGAGTCAGTGTCAGAGTCAGTGTGAGTCAGACTGTCAGAGTCCTGAGTCAGAGAGAAGTAATAAGCAGGCTTCATGGAGTTTGGGGTCGGGGTCGGGTGGGGGGTCCGAGTCAAGGCCCACTGTCCGGAGGATAGGACTTAGGAAGCTTTCGATTCAATCTAGACCAGCGGCCGGGGCAGAGGCGCTGCAGACAGAGTCGAAGAGAAACCCTAAGACGACCTACTTCAGTCAGGACTATGACGTCAAGTCAAGTAGGTATTGGCAGTAAAATACATAGAAGAGTCATGCAGCCAGGATGCAGATCACAATACTGACTACTGTTACTCCTTACTATAGCTTCCAATAGAATTATAACTAACTAACTAAGCACAGGCCACTGTCTTCGACGACGCTGCAGCAGCGAGGCACTTGGGCAAATTACCATTATTATATTAGGTAGTTATTATTCAAGAATAATAATAATATAAAGATCTATAGCTGTTAACTAGTACTAGCTGCTAATGTTAGGCTAACACGCGTTTATTGCAGGATGTCATGAGTTCATTTCATTAACCCTTGCATTGCAGCCTCAGCACCCAGAAGCATGGATAATTGTACTGTAACTGGAAATCAATCATGAACCTGAAGTCAAGCATCCTGGAATCCCGACTCAACTTCAGATTTTCAGACTCCGGGGTGCACAGGCCGATTCAATTCTCTGCAGCCTAACTAGATACAGGAATATCATTGGAGGAACAAGAATGACAGTACTTACCAGGACCCCCCCCCCCTACCAACACTTGTCAACTTGTGAACCGCAGTCTCACTCAGATCGGAGTCACCATGTCACGACCTCAGCCTCAGGGCCTGACGCCTGACCATGAATAATAGTCGGTAGAAACCTTATCCCGGAAGCCCTCAAGTCATTGTTGTTTCAATTCTCAAAACTTACGCAGGTCTGATGCTGCCTAAACTAAGAACCTAACTAACTTAACTTTTCTACCTGTGCCCAACAAAGTAAAACCGTGCAGCATAGGCTCCAGCATGCCCTGAATGGTCTTCCGGTCTCGGGCAGGAATTTCAGCCGGTGGATCCAGCTCGCTGCGGTCTCCGAGATTCCTTGGATCGGCAGTGACAGTAGTAGGTCAGGCTCACTTACTTTAACTTTAATTCTAGGACCCTAAATTTTAATAATAAAATTAAGTTTAGGGCTTTAGGGCTTTAGGGTTTAGGGTTAGGCTAAACGGCTTATTTTAAACACTTCAATAATAAAAATGCCCGGGAATCGTAGGAGTGAGTTTACTTAGTATTGTTTCCATCTATGACTTGAAGACTTATGATTCGAGTCCTAGAACAGAAACTAACTAAAGCCAAGCAAATGAAGAGTAAGTCATTGTCACGTTCTTGAGGCCAGTAGTCGTGTAATCTGTAACAAGCCACCCCTGTGACTCAAATATAATTAATGCAATCGTGCTCTCCGACTTTCATACTTTCAGCACATGAACGGGTTATGTTTGAGCTGCACACAGCGAAGGCTGGCCACTTTGTTCGGGCTGGGGATTCCATCTGAGAAGCTGACCTTTTCATCAGATATCAGACTTTCCATTTCAGGATTTCAGAGTTTGAGATTTCACACTAGACGTATTATTGACATGATGTCATGTGTTTCAAGCTGTTCTTGCATATTAAGACATGTACAACCAAATCCCTTCCAGGAACGATGGCACCATCCTGCTCTGATGATTTTAGGGTTTAGATTATTTCGATTATTAAATTCGTAGGCTGTAGTAGTAGTCAGTGGGGCCTTAGCTTAACCCCCCCCCCCCAAAAGGCAGCCTAACTGAACTTAAGACTTAGGTCCTTAGCCAGTTTAGCCTTACAGTTGAATTCCAGGGCTGGATACAGTCTGAGTCTCGGGGCCTGAGGCTAGGAAGAAGTAGCGCCTTGGGGTATTATAAGTAGTCTTGACAGTGTTCATTCAACTTTTATTCTTTTCATTAGTATCTTATTCTTATAACTTGTAATTTTAAATGACTATCTGATAATCATGCTTACTAACTATTTATTTGTACTGTTAGTATTCATATTTCGGTTTTAAACTTGTATGTTGTTATGATTATGAAGGCTGTCAGTATTATTATTAAATAGATCCTTAGATAGTCAGTAATGGTTAGGGTTTTAAGTGTTTCGGGTGGATTAGGCTTTACAAGTCGTCGTCTGGGTCACGCCTGGCTCAGACTGACTGACTGGCGACTGAGGATCTGAGCCTGAGTCTCTGGATTTAGGAATTTATTTTGATTTAGTTAGGGTTTGGTTTAAAGTTTGGGGTCAGCTGGCTGTGACTCGACCCTGGCAACTTGCATAAATTATTATCATTCGGGCAGGGAATCATCAATAATCTATCAAAGATAAAATCAGTCAGCGCCAGGTTGCCAACTTGCAGGTGACTCCAGTCGACACGGAGAGGTATGAATTGAAATTCAGTTAGATTAGAGGTCCGGGCTTTTCTGCACTTAATAAATAAACAATTTTATGATTGCCTCTTACTATGAGCAGCATCAGTTCTGATCCAAAAGAATGTAGTAGTAGTCGGCCAGTCAGGATCCCCTAATGTTACGTTCCCATGTTTCACAATGCTATAATAAATAATAAATACACTCTATTAAACGAGTATTGTTATTATTGTTATTACCCTATATTATTAGTGTTACGACAATTACGATTGTAATCATCTGTAAATTTCTCACACAGGAACTAATGACATGACTAAGGCATGAAAGCCTGAGGGAATCCGGCCGGCGGTGATTCGAATACGAACTCGGACCCCGAGTTACAAAGCCTTAAACCCTAAACTCTTTAAACCCGTAACCGGTTTTACCGTAACCCTAAATAAACCCTAAACTTTTAAAACCCGGGGTTTAACCCTTACATAACCCTAAAAAGAATCCGAGGCACGGCTCCGTGAGTTGGCTGGCCAGCGCTGCGATAGCAGGAATTGCCTGGGCTGCTGAGGTCACTGGGATTAAACTGTTTGGTTACTGGTTAGTTGGCTGGTCACAGGCAAAGTGTCTGTCTCGATGTTCGTAATATTTGCTGTGAAGTAATCTGCAATGCCTTACAGAACTGTATCGCTCAGTCATTCTGACGCTTGCAGACGAGTAAGTAGACTACGGAAGGACTAAGGTAAGTCTAAGTGCTGCTGTCATGTGTCTTTAAACACTGTTTAATGCCACCAGCCTAAACACACGCCATCCTGGTCCAGGACCCTGGCTAGCGCCACTGTGAACCCCAGAGCCCCAGAAGCTGAAGTCCTAGGAGTCCTCACAGGTCATCAATGATCAAAGATTACGTTACATAGCACCTATTCATCACGCGATTTCTTTTCCATCCATGGGCTGGGACTCCCACGCAGTGTAACAGTGTAACACAAACACAGCCTGCGGAGCAGGAACACTAGGCTCTCTAGTCTGCACCTTGCACGGCGATGTCGAGGAGCTACGGAGTTGGCATGCTGATTGGCCTCGTATTTTTGGAACCTAGTCAACTAGACTGGCACAGCAACATTGCGAATTATAGTGCCGGGCAGCCGGGAAGAAAAATAACCTTTCGTTAAGGAGCATAGTGGCATAGCTACAGAAATATTGAACACCTAGCACTGGATTAACTTCTCGTCGTTGATATGATAAGACAGCCACTCTGTTGAGCTTGGCCTTGGCTGCCCGGCTGGGCAAAAAAGACAGCATAAACCCTCACTAGACATCAGAACTGGAACCTCTGACCATGGACCGAGGTCCAAATGGCGACAAGTCCGGTCTGGTGTGCTGCCCGGCTACACAGGAATCAGGAAATCATTCGGGGTGCTGTAAGTTGGGTCGAGTAGGCCATTTTGGCTGGAGGTCGGGCTTGGTTTTAAGGGCTTCTCACTTGTTGCACAGGTCAGTCTCGCTGCCGGGACTTTGATCTGATCTGCTGATAATTATCAGAATCAGACTCTGCTATTGATATGATTCAATTTAATTGATTGAATTAGGGCTTAGGGCTTAAAGGGTTTAGGGTTTAAGCAATTAGGGTTTAGGGTGATTAGGGCTTAAATTTAGGGTCCCAGGGTTTAGGGTTATTTTAAAAGTTAGTAGGGTTAAAGTTAAGGCGGTTTAGGGTTAAAAAAAAGTGTTAGTAACGGTTCAGGACAGGAACAATATGATAATAACAAACCCTGAAACACCTACTACTTACTCAGGGGATTGAATCTGAATGGATGCTTGAATGGCTTGTGTTACTTACTGCAATGTGCCTTCAAATCCACATGGACACTAGCCTGAACTGAGCAGCCTTGTCACAACAACTGACGGTCCTGGAAGTCGAACCGGTTGAGTCTGACTTGAAAAATCGAGTAGACAATGACAACAATATCGTAGAAGATTGCTTCAGGAACGGACAGTGGTCTTGGAGTTTTAGGGTTTAGGCCTTAAACCTATAAGACTAACTAGGCTAGGTTAGGTATTTAATAAATAAACGAGTTTACACTTGTGCTTGGGGCTTACATTTATGATCGTGGTGCATTGACAGGGCTTTGATGGGCTTTTCAAGGCCTTAGGTTTAGGGTTCATGTGAATTTAGGTTAATAATAATATTAATGAATTAATCTCAGGAATAATACTTACTAGATCATGGTCTTAGTCATCTTAGAATCTTAACAATAGGCACCGATTGGCAGTATTCAGTATGTGTAATAAGATTGTTCCCTGGAGAACCGGGGTTTGTTTTTTTTTCAAGTTCCAGCTGAACAGAATTTCAGAACTGAATAGTCAGACCGGGAGCCCGGGACCTACCAAACCTAGCTAAGCCAACACTGTAGCTATAGTATCTCTCTGCAATTAAGTTAACTAACTAGGCCCAGCTGCGATTACTTTACTATGATCTGATCCCAAGTGAGTCAAATTAGTCAAAGGCTGTCTGCTGTCAGACTCAGATCATGGATCACACTCGTCACTTGATTCACGAGGTGGCCTTGCCGTCTACGCTCGCAGTGGACGTGCCGCCAGCGCTGATGCTGATCTTGAAGGACAGGGTTGTTTGCTGCTTGCCATCCTTGCTCTGCCTCCCTTTAGCCTTAGCTTTAGCTTTGGCCTTTGGTTTGCCTTTGCCATCATTGGCCCCACTGTCACTGGCCCTGGCCGTCGTCTTGCTGGGGTTCTTGTCCTTTGCCTTGGCTTTGGGCTTGCTCGTCTTTGCTTTGGGCTTGCTGGTTCCGGCCGGAGTTTGGGCAACATCACATAGGGCTGCTGGTGGGGTCGAGTTGGTGGAGACGGCATCGACCTGGACCTGGCTAGGGGGATCGGGCTGGGCATCAGGGATCGGAGGGAAGCTTCGGAGTGGGCTGGAGTCAGCAGCGTCTGCTGACAAGAGAAGTATTCCCTCGGCACCCTCTGCTTTGCGTGCAGCTATCGCCCTCGTCACCACCTCGCGAATCATGCGCTCCCCGGATCTGCTCACACACTGGGGCGGGCTCTTCATTGATGATGTTGGCGTGGCACCCCCAACCGGGGTATCCTGGGTAAGGCTCAGGCTCATCGTGTCGTCCGGGCTGTGAGTTCTGTCAATGCCAAAGCACCGGCGCTTGCCCGGGGTCGGGGTCTGAGTCTCGAGTGCCAAGTTTGGTTGAGTCTTGGCGGGGGATGTGAGCTCTGAGACTGGCAGCGATCCATCAATCACCGCTGCACTCTGTACGGACATGGCTAGTCTAGTCTTCGTCTGAGACTGAGACAACCCACGTAGTATATAACTCACTACCACCTCGTTGGTTGCAGGATCTGAGCCGCTCAGACAGACGGTGTCACAGCGGAGTGACGCAGTGACCCAGTGGCTTGGGGCAGCACCTTGAAGGGTTTGGGGTTTAAAGTTTAGCTAGTATTAGTAAGTAGCAGGCAATATAATAATATTATTTTTAATATAGTTCATAAATAAAAACAGTCTTGTTATTGTAGTCACTAGTATTGATTTATGGGTTCCGACCACGAGGACTGAGGACTATTTAAATTATTAGCAGTAACAAGTCAGACATGAACTAATGATTACTAAACGGCTTGTTATCAATAGTATTAAATAGAATTATACAGTCCTAAGCTTCAACTACAAAACCCTAATTAATTTCCGTTACCTTCGCACATGACATCAATGACCGAAGCAAATCGGCATCGTCGGTCTATCTGATGTTAGGCTGACAGTGTCAGACCTGCTACATACAGTGAACCCCAAACAGTCGGAACATCCCCTTAACAGGTACACTACTATTAAAGAGGGGAATCCCAGTCAGGTTTAAGCATTACTACGTATTTACAAAAATATATTAAGGGGTATGTTCCAACTGTCTGGAGTTCGCTGTATTTTGGCGAGATCCTCTAACTAAATATTGACTACTATAGTCTTTAATATGTCATGCTATGATTCGGGTCTCATGTATGATTCAGAATTTGGTGAGTTGAGACTGCCTGCAGTCCCGGAATCCTGAATCGAATCACTATACTCAGGTTTGTTGGGCGGCAGAGTGAGGCTTAAAATTAGGCCCTTGGTCACCACTAAACCCTAAACCCTAAACCCTAAACCCTAAACCCTAAACCCTAAACCCTAAACCCTAAACCCTACACCCTAAACCCTAAACCCTAAACCCTAAACCCTAAACCAATATGTTTTAGTTTGAACGACTTTTGCCAATTGCAGCCTGTGCACAGAATCTGAATGGATTCCGGTTCCTGCAGCTGGGGTTGAGGGGACGGTGCGGGCCTCGATACTATAATGACACTACTACTCGGAGCAGGGCGACTTGTCACAAGGCAAAACAATAGGATATACGACAGTTTTGCTGGAACACACAGACAGAGCCTAACCAATTGGCCTTAGTCTAGTCTTAGTGTTAGTACAGAATTACTAAACAATGCAATGCACTCCAGGTTCAAGCAACCAGCAGCAGATCGAGCCCACTCGGTCCAAGACGAATGCCCAAAGAGATAAAACAACAACCCCTTAAAGCCCTAAGCCTAGGAATATGAAGCCCAGAACAGTCTCAAATTTGAATCTTTGGCCCTGGCCGCCTGGCGTGGAGTCTCACAGACTGAAGTCACAGAGACTCACGGCTTCGAACATACAACTAAAGAGCTCAGAGATTCGCATTACATGCTGTCGGCAGCTGGCTGGCAGTCATTAAGACTCCATACGATGTCTAGTCAAGCAATATACTCTTCGAGTCTCAAACTGCATCATATGTCTCTGATTATGATTATGGGGCATTTATCACTTGTGGTTTTCGGGCTAGTCATTCAACATAAAAGTCTCCATGAGCTTATTATTGAGAGGATCTCACGTAAAACCGCTAGTACTTTTTCTATAGGTTTCGCTTCAGACTTGGCTCAGGTTCTGTTGAGTCCACGCTGCGACGCTGCCTGAGGGCCGCCTGGGGAGTAGACTAAGGCTCTTATTCTTAGTTTTAGGATTCCAAGTCCTCTGCCTACTCATTATTATACAGTATCAGAAAACCAGTCCAAATGGAATGAAGGGCGAGGTTTATCATTGTCATTCGAATCCACGAAATCATCTACAACTACAGTGACAGCCCTGCGTCGAGCTTGAGCTCAGCCCAGGCGGCTTCGACTAACAAGTTACGGTATAATACTACTAAAGTCAATGAATTATGTGACTACGACTTGAATCTGAATTCTGAATCGCGCCTTGGCACGGCTTAATTTGAGCTGAAGTCGTGTCATAGTCCTACAATGAATACTATCGGACCGGAGGCCAGCAGCATGACCTGTGAGGCAGGCAGCCATCTCTCGAAACTCGGATACACAGTGGCCTCAGTCTACTGTCTGTCAGCAACTGTACCCACTGGCTGGACTGCTGGCGCCCGCCGGATTGGCACTGTGCAACTAGACATTGACAGACGAGTCTCGACTGTATTTGGGCTAATCCCGGAAATAGACTAATAGAACTACTCGACACTGAACTG